CCCCAAAACCCCAAAACCCCGTACTCCAAATAAAAGTCATTAACTACTAAACTCGAAATTATATTACTTGCAAATCAAATAAAAGTTAAAGAATCCTTTTATAGTGATCATTAAATTGAAAATAAATGTTTTCTTCACAATATTAATAAGTGCAAAAGCAGACTGTTGTTGCCCTAAATGTTGCTGAAAAACCATCAGTTGCCAAAGCTATTGCTAACATTTTAAATAAAGGCAAATCTGATCCAAGAAAATTAGAAACGTTAGCTAAGTATAATCCAGTATACAGATTTATGGCTAAAATTGATAAGCATTAAATGGATATGATCGTAACTTCAGTATGCGGTCATATTATTGAATTCAAATTCCCTTAGAAATGTAAAGATTGGAACAACACACCTTATAAAGAACTCTACAAAGTTAAACTCGAAAAAGAACCATCACCTCAGAATACAGACATCGTAAGAAACATTCATAAATATGCAGATTTAGCAGATATTTTGATCCTTTGGTTGGATTGTGACAGAGAAGGAGAAGCTATTGCTTATGAAGTTATAGATTTAGTAAAATAGGTTAAACCAGAAATTATAGTTAAAAGAGCCCATTTCAGTTCTTTAACAAAAAATGAAATTGTTAAAGCAGTTACAACAAAATTGACAGATCCAAATTAATTCTAAGCTGATGCAGTATTTGCTAGATAAGAAATCGATCTAAGGATAGGTGCAAGTTTTACAAGACTTCAGTCAATGAAATTCAAAAACGTTATTGGGGCGAATCAGAAATAAGTCTTAAGCTACGGTCCCTGCTAATTTCCTACTCTTGGGTTTGTTGTCGAAAGATATATGAAAGTGGCAAAATTTGAGCCTGAAAAATATTGGACTATTATCCTTCAGTATTAAAAACCTTAAGAGGAGCTACCAGTTGAGAATGAAAAAGATGAGGATGAATAGAACGAAGATGAAGATACAGAAATCGGAACAGATGATATCAATGATAAAAAATAGGCATAGGCAAAACCTAAGGAGGTTAAAGAAGGTGATTAGACAATCAAAGAGGATTATGAATATGGAAATGAAGATGGAGAAGGTGATTGTGAAGATGATGAGTCTGGATTTTTACTATCTGAGAAAATGGATTAACTTATGACAAAAAAAGATGATTATATAGATGAGCTGAATAAATAGCTGGATGATAAGTAAAATATGAAACATAAAAGTAGTAAAGACAAAGATTAAGAGGATCAGCTTTCGAAAAGTTTTTAAAAAATAAATATGCAAACTGATGAGGGTTTTTCTGAGGAAGATCAAAGCTAAATTGAGGATAACCAATAGAAAAATGATTAGAAGTAATTGAGATAAAGATAAAAAGTAAATTAAGATAATAATCAAGATAAGAAAGATCAACAAGAAGATGTAAAGCCTAAAAGGTAAAATCATATTGATTATATTTATCTTTTAGGAGAGGATTTTTCGAGTCAAAGAAACCTAAAGATGCAATATAATTTGAATGGACAAGGTACAGAGTCTATATAAGATTCAAATTTGGCTTCGGTGGTAAAGGTAAATTCCAAGAGAAAGACAAAAATCAAACCTTTTCCTATGAATACCATAGACTTTCAAAAGTTAGTCTCAAGGAAACTTAGAATAGGATCACATAAAGCAATGGATATTGCAGAAAAGCTGTATTAAAAGGGATTTATATCATATCCTAGGACTGAAACTAATATTTTCCCTGAGATGAACTTAAGAGAGATAGTCAATGATTTATGCAAGAATTCTATCTTTGGATATTTTGCTAAGAAGCTCATCAACTGTAACGGATATTCCCCTCCAAGAAGAGGGAAATTAGATGATAAAGCACATCCACCCATTCATCCAGTAAAAAATGCCTAGAAAATGGAATTAAAGAATGATGAGTGGAGAATTTATGAAATTATATGCAAGCATTTTCTTGCTTGTCTTTCAAAGGATGCCATTGGAAATGAAACAAAGATAGAAATTGAAATTGGAGGAGAAAAATTTAGAACTAGAGGTCTAGTAATAGTTGAATCTAATTGGCTCGAAGTTTATGCTCCTTATGAAAAATGGGCAGATAATACACTTCCAAATTTCTAGGAAGGTGACTCTTTTGTGCCCTCTTTGATTAATATTCAAGACTCTTAAACTTAGCCACCCAAGTTGCTTAGTGAGGCTGACTTGATAAGCAGGATGGATTAAAATGGCATAGGTACCGACGCAACAATTCATGAGCATATTAAAACTATCTAGGATAGAGGTTATGCTCTTAAATAAGGTCAGCATTTTATTCCAACTTAGTTAGGCTTAAATCTTGTAAATGCTTATGAATATGTTGGAATCGAGTTGTATAAACCTAATCTAAGATCTTAAGTAGAAAGATAATTGAAGTTAATTGAACATGGCAAGAAACCTAAGAAGGAAGTTTTAAAGGAATGCTTAAAAGAGATGAGAAGAATATTTAAGACAGTAATGAAGAGATCTGATGAGATGCAAGACTTTCTTACTTAATAACTTACCAATCCTATTGTTGTTGTAAGTTTGAAAGAGGATTTAACATAAGCTACTTAACAATCTCAAAGACCTGAATTGAGCTAGGTGAATATCATTACAGATGGATATGATATAAAAGCTGAAGACTTTTTCAAAACACCAGATCAATTATTCACTCAAATTTAAAACTAGAAAAAATTTTCTCAAGATGTAATAATAGATGACAGTGAAAAGACCACTCTAGCTGAGACTAATTTTATGCTTTGCGAGAAATGTGGCGAGTTTCCAGTTAGAATTAAGATGGCTAATTCCGGCTTTCTCTTCGCTACATGTGCAGGCTTCCCAAGGTGTAAGAACTCTACATTCCTTCCAAAGAATATCAAGAATTTGTAGATTACTGACATTAACTGCCAAAATTGCACTGATGCTAGAGAGGGAGAGGAAGTTAAGAAATTCAGAATATCGTTCTATACAAGTACAGCACCAAACATAAACTAGTTGCAATAAATCATTTAGTAGTCAGAATCTGTATACTGCATTTTATCCTCTTGCGATGAAAACTTGCAAAAAATTAAACAGATATGCAAGGGCATCAAGATTCCACCCAAGAAGGGGACTTTCCTCGATGAAATGACTGAAGAAGAGAAGTAGCAGAAGGAAGAAAGCAGAAAAAGATGGTTTGAAAAGCGAAGGGATTATAAAGCTTTTCAAAAGGGGAAGGGCAAATAGCCTAATTAGGGTAACAACAAATTTGAAAAATAAACAAATAATAAGAAAGATAAAGGAGGCAAAAAACAAGGCAAAGCCTGCAATCATTGTGGCAAGAAAAGACACTCAGCCAAGAGTGATTGCATTAACAATAAAAATAAAGGCAGTGCTGAATGAATTGAAGTTAACTAATCTTAATTATCATAATCTTATTATACTTTGAATATACTATAAATTATCTCTGATGGGGTTTTGGGGTTTTGGGG